AAAAATAAAAATAATAAAATTAAATAAAATAAGAGAATTCCAGTTTTCGGTTCAGTTATCACCCAACCTAAATTTACCGTTAATCAATTTCGACGCTTTCTTTAAATTGCTAATGAATTACTGACCCTAGCTAACAACAAGCTCTGTTAACCAAATTTTCCCTTACCAATTATTTAATCGAAATAGGCTCTTCGACTAAACCTAACTAGTGGACAACCTAGAATAAGCTCTCTAGATTTAATACACTAGCAGCATTAATTCCTAGGCAAATAGATCAGTCTAAGCAATGGACGCGTAAGCTCGGACCATTTAACTTATGCTCATGTTACCCTAAGGATGCACGACCCCTAGTTTACTACTAACGAAACGAGAACAATAACAATTACGGATTAAAGACTCGAAACTAGCAATTAAATCATGGATATTCAACGTAGATGGTCAAACTAAATCAAACACCATAATTCGTAAACATTAAACATAGATAACGTGAATCAACTCATCAACAAAAATAAATACGACGTCTCAATTGACCAAGGAAAGAAATAGATCATCCAATTCATAGACAAATCGAAGTTAGGGTTCAAACATCCCCTAAAACTGGATATAAATCCTAGCCTAACATACTAATAAAATAAATAAAAACTAGATAAAAGAGAGAAGATGAAGATCTCCCTCGTGTGCGGGTGCGGCTTCCCTCCGCGTGTGTGACCTCTTTCCTCTGTCCGTGCGTCTGTCCGCTATTTTGCTCTCGCCTTCTGTTATTTTTCTCTCTCTCTCTCTCCTTTATTTCACGGCTCTTCTTTTATCCTCTCGCAAATAATTCCCGTCCCCCAAAGACTCCCAACAATGCGTGAGTCCTGTTGTCCTTTTTCTTCTCAAATTCTTGTTGGTTCTTTTCTAATTAATTCGTCTATGACTCCGAGGTTTGATTTATTTTGGGCACAAATAATTGCACTTTATTTTGGGCCCAATTCTTCTGCGAATACTCGTTCAATGCTTCGAATCCATAAAATACTTCAATGAGCTGAAAATAAACATAAAAATATCAATGTGTATGAATCCATCCAAATAATGAATAAGTCGAAAAATACAAACGTGCGACTAAATTAAGCGTATAAAAATACATTATTAAATATATAAAACATGCACATTTTTCGACCTATCATATACATACATATAATATATAACTTTTTATTTTTCTTTGTGCATGTGCACAAGATGAATACTAGTAGGTCATATTTTTTTATCAAAATAGTGTGCAAAAAGAATTTATGTATATCTTGGCTCTCAGGCCACCCACTTCCACCAGGCCCGGGCCTGTCCGGCGTTCGCTTCCACGAATTTCCCACCCCTGTTTGCCGGAACCCGGAGCCCGACCCGTAAACTCCGACAAAATTCCCGTCCACTCAGTCTACGCGTCCATGGACCTCTGGGCCCTGAATGGGGTCAGTCGGGAAAGCCCTGTTTACCCGAGGGAGTAATCGGGCCGGTAGATATTGTTCGGGCCCGGATGAGTTTTGCAGTTCCGAGTTCTCCCGGAAAATCCAGCACGGTCCCCAGAAAATCTTCTTGGGATATATATATAATACGAGTCTGAGTGATGGGAGGTTCGTATCTCGATTACATGGCTAATGATGTTAATAATCTGGAGAGAAACAAAGAGTCGATGAGAAACAAGCACGAAAAAAATGCATGGATATGCTCGACGCAAACCGGGTTTGCCCTGTTCGGTTATGTTTGTTTAGTTTGGTACGATGATTTCTATTCCGGACTACTGGGCCCGATAAAAAACGAGCATGAATTTTGTGTGGGTTCTTAGAGAAGCCGAAAAAGGGGACGTTTTTAAGGGGGAAGCCCGAAAGCACATGCATTTGGATCAGCCGATGAATGCGGTTTGGAAAGTGATGGGTTCTGAAGAAGGTGTTGAGATTAGGAGAAGGGCTTAAACTATGTGTATTTTCATATGTTTTTGCAACTTATAGCATAATGAGAAACTTGTAGACACATTTTTATTTTATGCTATATTATATTCTTTATTTTATTTTATTTTGCATCTCAATCAACTTGGTACATATTATACATGTACTATATATTAATATAGTCACAGCACACATCAACTAGTGGACATGTATACAATTTATAATCTGTTTTTCATACCACATTTCACCATGCACAATCTGCAATCCACCATTGAAACTGCTGTCATGTTTTCATTCGTAGTTAATAAGAAGGGGAAGAGAAAAGGGTTTGGCTAATGCGGTAAAATTTGCTTCACTTCGGGACGACAACCTTCAATTGCCGACGAGCAGGTTCAGAGACAGGCAATCGGCAGGGGCGAAGCTGCATGTGTCAGCTGGGGTCAGCTGACCCCTATAGATTTCAAAATTTTTAGTATAAAATATTGTTCAAACACTGTTTACTAGGTTAATGACCCCACTAAAAAATATTGCTGACCCCGGTGAATAATGAGGCTGGCTCCGCCCCTGGCAATCGGGCTGGAAAAAAGCAAGCAGAAGCTAGTGAAGCCCATTTGTTCGAAAATGTTCGAGGAGGGGCGATAACTGTGAGAGACTTGGCCACACTGCTGAAAATTCTTGAGCAGTTTATGGTTTTACGAGCCATTGCAGTTGGAATTCGTGCATGGAAGTATGCTGATGGACCAAGTAGTATGCGTCCATGAACTAATTATAAGAGATGATTTTTAAAAGTATCTTTTGAAGTTTGTTTTTTTTTTTCCATTGAGTAATCCACTTTGACAAAACCTAGACAAGAAAGACACATCTGAGCCAGTCCTGATTACATCCTCCGATCGCCAACACCGATTAAAAACCTATAAGTAGAAAATGGTTGCGCGTGGCCATGCAGAACCAGCTATATTTGGATATGAGGTTTACTAGTCACTCAAGATTTGGTTTTGTATTATTGTTCAATATCTTGAATACTATGCACTTTAACACCAGATATCGCGCATTTGGATAGTTTATTAGTTATTAGCTAGCTATCTAAGTGAGCTTTTGACCGCACACTCACACGCACATAGATACAAGTCCATGAAAGTGTGGTGAAATCTTACTTGGGTGGCCGATGTTCGAATACATCTTTCAAGGTTTCTTGATGGAGCTAGTGATATGGTTTAACTAAACCCTCTTTAAAAATAGGTTTTCTTTTCCCTTTTCCCGTTTGGAGAGATGGGAAAAGAAGTGAAGTGATAGGAAGAGAAGGCGGTTGGCGGGAGATCTCTAAATCATAAAATTCGCTTAACAAATTTGGTGAAAATAAGCTACATTCATCCTTTTTTTATCCTCTTTGAATAGGAAACAAGAAAATTGAGAGGCCAAGATTGTGACACACCACACATTATTAGATAATAATGAACAACAGCATTTGACAACTTATTCAGTTGCACATGAAACCGCATGTAATCATATTAATGTTGTTCTTTTGGCTCCAGAAATCGCCAAAATAGAGGATGTGACTGATTTTTTTGGATTTAATTTATTGTACTTACCAGTAAAAATATAATCATATAATATTCCTCGAGGGATACGTTCATTATTATACTATATATCAATTAAAGTTTTACTTATAAATCACATTTTACTGATTATGTACCAAAACTCAAAAGTCAATAGAGTTGTTAAAAAGGACTTGGATGAGATGGAAAACTAGAATCACACTTCAGAATTTATATGCTGTTGATCGATCCTGATTGGTTTCTGTAACGACCCCTAACACAATGCTCGGTTTTCTGGGTTCGAAGACCTATTTTACCACATAGAAGGTGAACTTTTTTTACACTTGCACAAGAGCACACACTCTTAATAAGCACTATCCAGGACAATTTCAAGCAGATCCCAAGTGTTATTCCAAGAAAATGAAGCAACTTTTATAACTTGTGTAAAATACCGAGAACACCAAACACGCAAATTCGAAAATTAGAAAAATTCACGAGTGTCGACAAGAGGGTGAAAATGAAAAAATACAAAAAAAAAAAAAAAAAAAAAAAAAAAAAAAAATCAAAGTAAAAAACCGTGTTGCAGCTTCGTCACCCCTTCCAATGCTCTGCAAGACCTGGGTATCAAACCCCAAATAATCAAACATCATAAACCCTCGTTCATGCCTTAGGGCTAGACAGATTCTTGAGGTCCCTTTCTTTTGCATACCACTCAGGTATGATCTTGGCTGCGTGAGGATACAGATCCTTATAAGCATTCTTGATGGTCCCCTCAGCAACTGTAGTAGCATTCGAGATATCTGCAAATACACAATTTCAGAATTTCAATAAATTCGAACAAGAAATAAGACCTGGCCTAGTTATTAATGCATAAGCCAGATTTAGGCCACAGGTTACTGCAAGAATGCTAAACAATAGTTTGCTATTGAGGTCAGACAGAGTAAATCACAAAATTTAGGGTCAGCCTCATTACAAAAGGCTAATAATCATGTATTTTTGGTTTTTGAAATACTCCTTTAGGGTTCTTGTTTGCTGTAATGTCAAGGAGCAACGTGTGAATAGCATAATTAGCTGTCAGTTTGTAGTTTAGATTGAAACTCGAGGATTGATTTCAAAATTAAGCCCGCATAGCGAAATTAGCACTAACCTCGCAGGGGCTTCTTGGAATCTGACAACTGAGTTATCATAAAAATGATAGCTGCAGCAATAGATATGGGACTCCTCCTGTAATATGCAAATAAAACAAAATGTAAGCCTATCAAGCAACTTCTCCCATCGTAACTCCTATGTCACATATACAACATTGAAAAAAATTCTTGCATTAAACAAATAGACTCTTTCCATGCATGTCCTATCACAAATCAGTATTATTAAATATACCAACAATCCTTAAAAATTATACAAATATCTGTTGCGGTTAATTCCCAAAGTTCACGCAAATTGGGCAGCATTGGGATGTAAACATGAAATAAAGAGTACCTAATATCAAAGTCACCAGCCTTCTGTACAGTTTCTTGGACAGCTTTGACCTCTTCATTGCTCATGGCAAGATTAGAACAAAAACGCCTCTAGAAAACACAAGTCACCAGCGCACAAAAAATAATAAAGTGCCCAAAAAGATGAACAGAATACACTTCAACCTTGGAGCACAATTAACTTCTTATTTTTCCAACGCAAACTCACCAGATAGTCTCCAGCATGAATGGTCCCCATCTCCATTGATTCACCCATCTCAACCTTCAACTGTTTCACAATAAATTCTTTTGCCCGGCCAATTTCTTTCTTTGTGGCTCCAGCAACAATAGAGCATATTTCTAGTTGAGACTCACAGGTTCAGAGGACTTCACGAACATGTGATATAATAGTAAATGATAGCTATCAACTTGAAGCAAGTGATAAATAAATGTGGCACCTTTCACAGTGCGCGGCTTGCCTTCCTGACGACAGGCAATATAAATGCAAGCAGCAACCAATGCCTCCAAGTTTCTTCCCCTGGTACACTTCTGATCTTCCAACCTTTTATATATTTCACTTGCCCGGTCCTTCAAAGATAACAATAACAAGAAAGAAAGTTAGAATTTCCTGTCACAGTCTAGGAACCAAGAGATTGTACGAGTCACAAAGGACTCTGCAAGGTGAGAAAATTTCACACATCAATGTACCAAAAACTATAGCTTTGAATTTAAGATACTCATAATTCGTTAAGGTTGCAGCCCTTTTCAATGACAATAGGAATTTCACATGAAGTGCAAAATGAAGAAAGATGTATTTGTATACATGGACAAAACTCGAATACAACTGTGCGCATATCGATAGGAAAAAAATATGGGAATAGACAAAACGTCAAACAAAACTGAAGAAAACATAAAATTCAGAATTAACATAATGCTTAGAGCATGCAGACTGAATCACCTTTGCATACGAAAATCAAACATAAAACTAGTATACCTTGATGGTAGTCACAAGGCTCAACCTGAAACAGAAGGACAGAGCACTCATGTCAGCCAGATTCGACAAAGACTTCATGTCAGACGTATTCAAAAAGAAATAATGTCAACCGTATTCAGTAAAACTCTTCCCACTAGGCCATAAGGAATAAAAATTACTACACCAAATATTTCATACAATAAGCATGAGATAAAAAAATCAATTATTCCTATTAACATGAGATAAAGTAGACAGTACACAAAATAAGCATCATCAATTCCTCAACTGCTATAGCAACATTTTTATTAGAGGCAAATTCACATATTTTATCTTCACAAGTTAAAAAGATCATAGTAGAACAATACTACTCTACTATCCACAACACTGTTATCAGGAACACCTAGACTAATCTGACTTGCCAACAATTACATACAAAACTTGCATACATAAACAGAGAACAAAGTCCAAATTGTCTAACTCAACATTCACACAAGGCTGTAACAGTGATATCCAAGACCAACACAAGAAGCATCCCACTGCAGAAATAAATCAATCATTCACCCATCCCTTCCCTACAATTCTACTTTCCGTTCAATCCGTAAGAATCAAACAATCAACAATACAGTTAAGACCAACATGACAACTCTCTCACCAACATTACCAACTCTCGCAAGGCGCAACACAAACAAATCATCCAATATCAAGCAATGCTAAACTTATTGCTGCTTAAATCAATGTAACACTCATTCAACCTACAATATGGTCACTCTCATCATTTATTCTCCTCTTTCCAGTTTTAATAAGATATAATGTAATATTTCCCTTCATATCATTCAGCACACAAGTCATTACTCAATATATTCAAATTGAACTCCCTTTGTAAAGCCAATTTTTCATGTCCCGTTTTCCAAACACCCCAATCATCACCTCTGTTAATTCGAGAGAAAGATTTACTAATAACCAACAATCTTGAATTCATTTCTCAACAGCTTTTTTTTTCTTCCATTTGAACTCAATTCAATTATTCCTTTAGTCAGCTTTAACACCAAAAAAATCACCCAATTAACCACAGTACCCCTAACAGAAGAACCCTGCAACAGAAAAACACAGACCTATCGGCCATATTAGCAATCGTCTTAAACGCCACCATGATAGCCCTGTCCGGATCCCCGCCCCGATTCTGCAGCCGGGCCAGGGACGGATCCCCGCCCGACCCGTTCACCCCCCTCGAGATCACCGTCGTCAGGGCCGCGTCCCCCAGAAGCGGGTTCATGGGCCCGCCGACACGGTTTGGGTCGTGGTCCCCCGACTCGTCCGCGAACGTTCTCCACTCGGACGTCTCGTCAATCGAGCGGGCCTCGAGCACCAGGCCGCACTCCGAGCAGACCGTGTCGCCCGCCGCGTGATCGAACACGACCTCCGTGTTCCGCTTGCAGTCCGAGCAATACGTGTCCGACATACTCGGCGGCAGCAGCTTTGATGGGTCAATCGAATCGGGTGGAACCGATCGGCGAACGGAATCGGGTGTGTGGGTGGAAATTCTTGATTTGGTTTGAGCAGTGAGTCAACTCGCTCGCTGGCTCTCCGGAATCTGATCTTGCAGAAAGGGGAGAAAAGGGGATTGAGATGTAGAGGGTGGGTGGGTATATATAGAGAGAGAAAGGGGGGATGTATTCGGTTCGGGTATACTGGTTTGGTGGGTCGGGTCGACAACCTTTTGCCACTTGCAAAAGGTTGAGTTGTATTGACGCACATGCGATTTTTTGGTGATTTCTGGCAACTCTTTTTTTTTTTTTTTTTTTTTTTTT